GGATTCCCAGAGGAACAGCAGCTGCCTCTCCTTCCACTGGATCTTCAGAGGAAGAATCCATCCTTCTCTACAGGATCCCTGCTCCAGCAGAACCACCCCTGACACTGCAGGAGGGCTGAGCCACAATTCCAATGGGACTGCCACCAACACCCTGACCCACAGGCTGTCAGGCTGGGTTCTGACTCTGACAGTGTTGTTTTGGTTTACTGCATTGTTTATTTTTTTTTAATTTTTTCCCTAATAAAGAACTGTTATTCCTGCTCCCATATTTTTGCTGGCGAGCCCCTATAAATTTCAAATGTATAACAATTCGGAGGGAGGGAGTTTACATTTTCCATTTCAGGGGAGGTTCCTGCCTTCCTTAGCAGACACTTGGCTTTTAAATGAAGACAAAACTCTAATTTTAAATATTTAAAATTTTATACTCTGTGTTAGATCCCACCTGCTTGACCACTTCAGGGGGCAGCTCTGTTTTCCACTGCTTGAGCTGCCGGGAGGCGAAGGAGTGCAGGGCGTAGGAAATGGTGCCGTACTCGATCCACAGGGACAGGTTGGAGCTGTCGATCTCCAGGGCCCGTTTGAAGCAGTTCAGGACAGGGGTGGAATGTTTCCAGATGGGGCCATCACTCTTCAGCTCGTTGGAGTTCAGCTTGTCCTGAATGCGGCTCGCTCGAGCCAGAGCCATCCCAGCCCAGGAGTCAAACCTGTGCAGGCAGGAACACAACCCAGCGTTGGAAAAGGTGAAAGTTTGACAAGAAAGTTTCACAGATATCTGTGCTTGGCAGAAAGCTCTGAATGTAGAGCCTGAGAATGGAATAGAGATGGAAGCAAGTTTTGATATAGAAGAACAACAGATGTCTAAATTGAAAATTGAGCCAGTTGTTGCTGAACAACTAAGAAAGCAAAGGTTAAGTTGAGTTGGAAGGGGGTTTTATGACTTGAGCAAAGGATATGTTGACCACAAACAAAAAAGATGCTTTTACCAAGCAGAAATAGGTCTTAGGAAAAGCAGAAAGTTACCAAAGTTACCACAGGCAAACAAACACGCCAATGTGGCAAGTAGAGAAAAGGTTTAAGAATTTTCCACTGCAAGAAAACTGAAAAACAACTTTAAGCTTAAACTGTAACATACAAACTCAGGTGACTGGATAGTAATGACCATAATATGGTAATGACAGTAGTTCTGATAGGCTATAGGTAACAGGAAAGATATTGTGTATAATGCTGATTGGTTGGTATGTATTAAGATACTCAGCAAAGAAAAATATATCAGTAGCCAGAACTAAAGGGGCTTCAGGCTTGCCCAGAGCTGTAGCTGGCAGCTCTTGTCACCCATGACCCAAGACTGCTGTAAAACAACTTCTTTACAATGAGCAGCATTTTGAAGAGCTGCCTGGAGTCCCACCTCTCCCATCTCAGGCTCTTAAACCCATGAACAAACTCCCCCCTGAACATTTCACTACACATAGATAAGATTTGTCTTCTTGTATCTACAACTTTTTCCTCTTTCAATCACACAAAACAGATTTCTGCACTTCCTCCTCTCCTCAGAGTGGAACACAAGCTGTACAGCCTAAATCATATTGATTTTCTTTAAGTGGTTTCCTACAAAGCACTGCCCCCAGTAACTGTCACACATGGAAAACAGATGAAAAATCCAGGTTTATTTGCCATGCAAAGCCAATATATCCACATTTCTAATGGCAGCACTCCCACTGTTTTTTTCTCAGTAACCACGCAGCCCTGTCAAAATGTTGTCACCCTGCAGGCCAGCAGACATTGTGACACCTTGTGCTGTTGGACTCAGCTGTGAATAATCATCATCATTTCCCAGCATAAAAATCATAAAGCCAGAATTGCATCCAAGTAGGAAAATCCTGATGAACTAAAACTGTAATTTCTGCCTGAAGGACTGGTGAGGGTCCAGCCTGTGTTTGTTGACAACACAATCTGAATGGTGGTTTCCACAACCTCACTTCACCACCAGGGTTCCTCTGCTCTGGGCTTTTTCAATTTTACCATGATTTTAGCACCAAGGCAACCACCATAATGTTCTCATTTTTTGCCTGCAATTTCTTCTGATTCCAACTGAAAACCCATTTCTAGGTCAAGTGACCTCAAAAGTCAGATTCCTGAGGGGAATAAACAGGAACTGTAGTACAGAGAAGTACCAACAACTTTGACTGGGGCAAAAATCCTATGCTACCACATAAGGCATCTTCTGAGCAAAAAAAGCCACATATTAAAGTAAAAATGCATTCCATTCATTTATTTTTGAATTTAAGTTTTAGAACATCTAAACTGCAGAAAAATGGGTAGGGGGTGATAATGGTAATTTCTTTATCTGCCTTTAAACAAAAGTTTTAGCCATTTGCTAGTCACAAGTCCCAGCCTAGAAGATGCAATAACATTAAACTACAGCCATTTCCTCTGAAGATTTCTCATCTAAAATTGCTCTGTGCCTTCACCTTCCCTTTTGTCTCCGTTACGTGACTGGATTTAGAAACAATTTTCTTGTCTCAAATCTATCAAATTAGGGTTTTTGTCACTGACCCTGATCTATCAACTTCAAGGAGAATTAAAATGATAACACCTAATATGCAAACTCTATATTTAATCAGCAAATTTAAAGGTTATTTAGTTTAATTTAGAAGACGGACATTCAGAACATGCTTTATTTTTAAGATGAGAGAGTTTTATCTTGATGGTATTTCAGTGAGTTGTAAATTATCAAGAAACAAGGTGGTTTTGTTTAAATATCACTTCAATACTTTACTTATATTCTCTGTGTAGTTCTCTAGCAGCAAAATCAACACTTTTAGGAAGGGGTCAGCCTAAGCAATTAATGCACTAAAGGATGCCATTTGTGCTATAGCCACCTATCAAATGAGGATATTTTTCACTCCTTATCATGCATGAACATGCCAAAGCAAAGAACAAAAGGTACAAACAATTCATTCTTCAGAGTTATTCTTTATTTCAATTTAGCTTCCCTGCTCCCTTTCATTTTTTGGTTTTAAGTTCAAAGCAATCAAATATTTCACCCTATATTTTGGGTTTTGTTTTCTCTGTTGGGTTGTTTTAGAGATGCCCTTAATTATAAAATGGACATGTGATAATGGATTGCAGGAGGGGGATTTGGCTGTTTGGGATTTGTTTTTCATTCCTGAAACCATTTGCCTGCTTTTCAGTGCTGAAAGAAGTGAGAAGAAGGAAGGACCTGCAGCAGGATTCCAAAATACTGACCTGTTTGGACAAATACAAATGTCGTGCATGTAAAATTTAATGGCCTTGGACTGTTCTTTGTTCTTGAAATGATAATCTGCCAGGAGATAATAGAGCTCAGTCACCACTGGTGGAGAGTAGTCTGCACCCTCAGGGAGAGATGGTGCCTGAAAACCAGAAAGGCAAAGGTTCAGAACAAATGAGCACTTCCTTGTAGAGGAAGCAGCCTTTTCATCACACAGTGTGAGGGGCTTGAATATGAAAACCTTGAAAGCAATTCACAAACAGAGCACTTACAAACACTAATGAACATCTCATCCTGACTATATTTTACCATTCAAAGACTAAAAGCTCTGGTGGGATCATTCTTATTTTATTTAAATACAATTACCCAAGAAAACCCAACAGTATGGAATAAATCACTCCACTAATAATCTCAAAGTCAACATAAAAACTGCAACATCAATTTTTACTCCTTTCAATTTAATTTTTTAAAAAAACAATTAATTATACCTTGCTGGATGTTCCTTCAATATAGGCAGATACAGTCTCCAGGCTCAGCATAGGCTTGTCAGTTCGAGGAACAATTGTGGCAGTTTTCTTCAGGAGGTTGGCCAAATCAGCAGACACAGTACTGGTTTTGTAACTATCAAATTCTGGAAGAGTTTTAGGCTTAAAATACTCAAACATGAACAAAGCATCTTCCCATGTTAGATCAACCTGAAGAGGGAGGCAGATGAGAGGGGGAAAAATACTTCAAATTCTAAAATTCAAATCTACTAATGATGGTTTTCTATAGACTTTCTAGTTCAGAGGAGTGTACACACTACTCTAGCAGGAACCAAACTAAACCTCCCAAGAACAGAGCTAAAGGTGCTATTCATTTATGCTGCTCACAAATACAATATACTGCTCACTGATTTAACAGACAAAGATGCTGCTGTAACTTAGTGTAGGTCACTAAAGTCAAAATAAAGTAAAAATAAATTCATTCCACTTGCTCAGAAAAATTGTTTATAAGCAAGGATCAATTGTAAACATTCTGAGTGACACTGAGATCATGGGTAAGATAAGGAGAACTCTGCCCCTTCCATTTCAGAACCAAGTAAGAAAAGTTAATGAAATGGGAACCAGACAAAATTCTGAGCCCCTCTTTGAACTCTACAGAAAATTACTTCCAGAATTTACTTCTCATTTTCTCTTCACTTTTCTTTCTTGAAAGCAGTAAAAATACTTAAAGTAATTGACAGTTCCCTTCTGCTAGACCAAGGTTTTTCTCCTTTTATTGCTTTACCCTTTTAACTTTATTCTTAAATTTTGCTCTGCATTGAAACGCAAGGAAGTTGCACAGGGTAATCTCCTTATACTTCCCTTTTTCTTATTTATCCCCTTTCTCTCATTATCTTCACTCTCTAAGATGTACATACAACATAAAAATTTCCAAATATTTAATGAACAGTAATGTAAGAGTATCTGTGTATTTTAAAAGGTTTGTTCAACAGAGCCAGACAATAATTTTGCTACATGAAAATGGTTTTGATTGATAATCCTATGATCATTTGCATTTGAAGTGCAAAATAGTCTGGGGTTTCTGAACAAAACCAGGGATGTTTCTCAAGGCAGGACATTGCATTGCTGCCCTGTATTTTTCTCTTCCTCCCTTAACATTACAACCCTCTTCCAGAAGCACTCTGTAGTCGCCCTTGTCCCAAATTCAACTGAATTTCCCATTTCTTATGAACAGCTACCAGGTATTTACCATTGGAGATGTCAAAAATCAGTGATAACATAATGTACTTGCAAACTTTTAACTGTGACATTTTTCACTTTCATAAACTGCAAGGCTGGCCGCTAAAACTTTCTTCTCTCAAGCTGACTTTTCCTCTCTAAATTTTCCTCAACCTTGAACTTCTTCTCAGCTGAAAATATGAAAGTGATAGCTTAATAAAATCAATTTCTCAAAACTTTCAGGACGGCAAACTACTATGGATAAGATTAGCATTTAAAATATTCAACTTGTTATATTTATAATTTTTTAAAATATTAAGATTTTTATTTTATTCTCTATAAAGTGTAAAATACATAAAATTTACAATAAATAAAAGTAATATTTCTCCAAAATATATCAAAGTGCATTGGAACAAAATCAGAATGCATCTTTCATCAGTTCAGGATATTCCACTGACATTGGATAAGACATAACTCACCTGCTGTACTGAATGTTCTTCTAGGTACCTTGCTTTGCTTTTTTTGCTAGGGAAACCATATAAACAATAAAAACATTGCTCCAAGGCTGTTTCCAGCTCCTCTTTGTATGGATGAGTATCCTCAGAAGTGGAAGCTGCAAGTTCTTTCTGCAGTACCTGAACCTACAAGGCCAGCACAAGGACAAGGTCACCTGCAGATCACAGAGAGCTGCCTGAAGGCAGGTGATGAAAATAACTTCAGGGGATTTTAAGGGATTTTTACATGGATTTTTCCCCAATAACAATTAATTTCCCCAGTATTACTCATGTATTTTTGTGAACTGGTCTCACACAAGTCATTCCAATGGCACTGCAGCAGCATTGAAGTGCTTTTATTTTTCCTCCTGTATTAATCCACACTTATCTTTAATCAATGAGGTTAAATATCAGCTTCATGTTTCAGATCTAAAATCATTCAAAGTTCTCCCCTACACATCAAGCTGTTTTTGTGAATGTAACTGTGAACTACAGTTCATCAATGCTGTGAGAAAGGAAAAAGTACAGAAGAATTTCTGCCCTAACTCACAACCAGCAATTTCCTCTGCATGAAAAAAGCAGGATGGAGAGGACTTGGCAGCAAAAGAAGAGAGAGAGTTAATGAAAATCTGGCTAAAAGGACCATGGAACTGAACAGTATGAACAGTATTACACAGATGGCTACACACCAAGGAAAGTGGCTGGATTGATCCCAAATTCCCAAATACTGTAGCAAGTTGCTATCTTTACCTTCAGCACCACAAGAGAAAGCACCCATCAGTAGAATATTTTGGAAGATGCTGATAGTTTAAGACATTCATTATAAAAACTGCAGCTGAATGCCAAAAGAAGAAAGGTAACTCTTTGAAAATTCTCACTAAGCTGCCATAAAAAACAAACCCAAAAGGAACACATTCCAAGAAGACATTTCAAGGTCAAGAAAAATATGCTCACCAAGAATAACCTGTGTAGGGGCATGCTGGATATTTATTTCATGACCAAATCAAGACTCACATAACCACTGAGGTTTAAGATTCAATTTCAATGTGTTCCACTATAGAATTTAAATAAAAAAGAAATGTTTATTTGTGACCATTTCTCATTTTTCAATATCTAGGACTTCAGACTCAATTATTTATGCATGATCCTACACAAAGCTTTTTCCTGTCAATACAAGCACTGCATGACAAGGCAAAAATCTGACTTTCTACATGTAAGGAGCTCATTTGTAAGAGCTGGAATTGAAGATGCTGATTCTCTTCTGATTAAAATATCTGTGCTAAGATCAAGGTACTGTTTATTAAGAGCCAAACCCCTGAAAAAGAAAAGCAAAGACAATTCTTAGAAAGCATTTCAATGCCATCTGGAGTCACAGCAGACTCATTCACACTGAGTCCCAGCAGACACCTTATTGCCAGCACTTTCCCTGTATGAATTTGTGATCAACATTTGAAATTTACAGAAAGGGCAGCTAAATAAGCTGAGGAAAAACAGTGAGCATCAGAGGATACTGTAACAAAAGCCTTCAATTCCTACTGCTGCAAACAAAAGCACATCTAACAGCAGTAACAGAATTCTCACTTGAACAGCATTCAAAACAATCTCCTTTGTTATTATTCAACTTTCAAGTTCTTGGCAGAAATCCAGAATTGTTCCTAATAATTCAGACTATTGCTAAAGGCCCTAATTAATATTAACACCTCCTCTTGCACAGCACATTCATCCAGAAGCACTATAAGGACCTTGAGCAGACAGTTCACCTACAAAGGTGACCATTTAACACTAATCTATGAAACACACTGATGTGAACAGTGTGTTCTTGAGGCTTCCTTTCTCTTCAAATAATTCATCCCATTTTATCCTTGTCTTTCCCTATCCTTCCAACACCCTCTTGTCTCGGAAAACGCTGAAAACTGAATTCTTGTGTTTAATACCACTATAATATATTTTAGTTTAAAAAGTTGGCAATTCTGTCAGTGAAAATGGAGCACTTTGTTTAAAGTAGCTGATGATAATTGCAAAGAGCTGCAAATACATATACAGCCAGCTCTCAGTCATCTGTCCTTTGCCCAGGTTCCCAGCCCATACTCTGTGGGTACAGCACATTTTTCAGGCACAATTCATGTCGGATCTCAGGATCTCAGTC